GGAAGATACAGTTCTTCTTGTCTGAAAAATCAAGGAAGTCCTGAAAATGGGAAAGCCTAAAAGGAGTTTAAATTGTTTACACAATGATAATGTTAGAAACCTTCTGTCCCATCAAGGCTGTGGCAAAAAAAGTGCCACAAAGGCCTTGTGAGAGATTGTTTTGTGGAAATCAAAGAGACTGAACTTCATGAGTCTTCTACAACACTTCTCATCTGCAGTCACTTCAAATATTCATCTTTCTTAGTCAAAAACTCCCCAGTTTAGCAGGTGAGGAAATCAAGGCCCACAGGGTGTAAATAACTTTTTTTAGGTAGGTGCTGAACTTGTATTTGAACTAAGTCTGAGTAAGAAAATTAATGTGTTAATCAAAACAAAACGATATGCTCTCTTGTCGTCTAGATTCATTATATATATAAATAGTTCCATCTTTTTTTCGTCTATTTGCAGAAATGTTTTTCTTTTTTTATTTACTTATTTAGTTTTTAAAACTGTATTCACTTCAAAATCATTATCATAGAGACACGGTTCTGCTCTGGGGAGCAGGATGGCCTTGGCCTCCTGAGCTGTTCTGATGTTACCTCTTCTCCAGGCAGGAGAAACTTGGCCTCCTCCTCCCCAGTAGAAGGATGCAAGGTGAAGACAGAAGGCCAAGAACAGACTGAAGAGGACTTGGGCCCCTCAGTGTTCACCCAGACAGAAAAATGTAGACCACTCCAATGGAGAATTTTTAATTTGTTTTTAATCTTTAATTATTATTTGTTTAGACCAGCCGAAGTTCTAATTATTGACATGGTTCTGTTTGTTGATTTCCCCTTGTGAGTTATCTGTGTATTATTTTCCTTCATTTTGTTTTACATTCACTATTCAATCATTATGTTGTTCATTTTGGCAAAAGTCATATGGTTAAATTAATATTTATTTTTTTTGAATATTTAAAAGTTTATTCTGGTAAACCTTACCTTTCTCCTCTTACAACATCATTTTGACTATATACCAAATATATGTATCTGTTTTCATTTATGCTTTCCATATAAACAACATATATTAATTGCTCACACATTTCGCATGCACCACTCATGGGTTTTTTGTGTCCTTTATTAAAATTTTATTTTGGTCTTATTGTACAAGTGGACCATAAAAGCTAAGGATAAAAGTATTTTCTTTAGTAAGTTGCAAAGTTCATACACTCTTTAAATTGATGTTATTTAATTGTATTTTGGGATCCCACTTTTTTTCTAATCTAATTCTAGTTATTTTGTTAAAGATGTCCAATCAGTCATTTATTTAGCACAGTTTTTTCAAATACTATTCTGTATAATAAGGATACAACTGCAAGGAAGGCAGACAGGATGCTGAAAAAGTCCTACATTCTCCCGGGTGCAGTGAGATGATGAACTTACAGATAAATTACTACAATATTCATTCGATGGTAACTGGCTTTATTCTATTTTGTGGTACTCTACTTTGTTGTTGTTAGTTGCTGTCTATTTGATTTCCACTCATGGCATCTCCATGGGTGCAGAGTAGAATGTTGCATAGGGTTTTCAAGACGGTGATCTCTTGGAAGCAGATCTCTAGGCCTGTCTTCTGAGGTGCCTTGGGTTTCAACTGTCAAATTTTTGGCCAGCAGTCAAGTGCTTAACCATTATTATGATAACATTTTCTTTATGTATAATTTTGCCTGATAGCACTTTTTATTTATTTATTTTGTAGTTCATGTAATCTATGCATGTTTACCTGTGATTTTCTGATATAACTTAAGAATTGTTTTCTTTAAGAATGGATTCAATTCACTATACATTTTAATTATGCCTTGTTCTCTTAGGACTTCAGAAAATACACAGAGAGTTAATAATCTGGGTAGTCAGAAACATAAAATGAAGTTTTAATTAGCTCATAAAATCAATATTAAGAGACAATATTTGGAGATACAGGATCTGACTTTGGGGAGAACTTTTCTTATGGGAAGACACCTGCACAGAATCTCCAGAACCTCTGCCACTGGACCATTCTAGGCCTCTGTGGCTGGCTCCTGCCATGTTACCCAGGCCTGCATGGTTCTCTCTCTTGCTGCCACACTACCCAGGACTGTACTGCTCCTGCCACGCTGCCTGGAGTGGGGAGGGGGAGGCTCGGTGCACAGGGCACACTCTGGCCACTGCCATGCACAGACAAGTGCTACAGCTCTTTAGCAGCACACAAACCTCCTGCACAGAGGCACACACCTCTCTCTCCATGGGCCAGCAAGCCCACTATAGCCATCTTTCTCTTTGGGCCTGCCAGCCCACTTCTCCCTTCTTCAGTGTTACAGCCCTTCAATAATTCACAATGACTGTAAAAATGTAACAGTGACTCAGTAGAAATATAATTATTTCTTACACTGTGACAAGGGAACTGTCATTTAAGGCCAAAACATCGATTCTATGAATCAGTATTGGTACTATGGTCGACAGCATTAGTTGTTATTGTTAGGTGTTGTCAGTTGGTTCTGACTCATAGTGACCTTATGTACCCTGGAGGTTTCTGCTGATCCACGTAGCTATGGGGCTGACGAACTCAAGATTGTCAGACTGCTTGTTCAAGTCCCAAGAACCAGAGGTCAAATGCAGGATCCAGAGCAAAGCAAAAGCCAGGGAGCTTTGCCGTAGAGTCTGTAGATATTGTGTGCAGGCCACACCCCCAAGGATTCTTTTTTTCGACTGACTGCTTATAGCATATTTCATCATGGAGTTGATTACATTATATCACATCTCATCATGGAGGTGATTACATCATTATATGACTGCTGAACTACATAATAACTGCCAATAATAACTGCCAAACCACTGAGAATCATGGTCCAGCGAAGCTGACACACAACCTTAACCATCACAATAGGTAGCAGACATTTTGCAAAGTAAAAGTTGGGAAAACGCAGTTAAGAATTAGAGTAACAGCTGAGGATGCTTATGTACAACCAAATACCTCAGGGCATTTGTTTCCTTGGTTTGGAGATTTAGGGTCATGGTTTCTTGGGACACATCCCAGTAAATTGGCCTAATAATGTGTTTAGTGCTTCTGTTCTACCTCCTAGTTCATTGCATAGTGCCTGGAGTCTTAAAAGCGTGCAAGTGGTCATCCAAGGCACAACAATTGGTCTCTATTCACCTGGAGCAACAGAGGAAGAAGGAAAGTCAGGAATAGGAGGAGGATATGGAATGTGTGGCTAATTGCCTCCATGAACAACTGTCTCCTTTGCCATCAGACCAGAACAACTGGATGATGCCTGGCTAGCATTACTGAACATTTTGATCAAAGATTCCATGGAAGAATTCTGGTAAAAAGTGGGAAAACGCAGAACAGAATTTCACATTGTCATGGACTCTAGGCTTTCTGGAGCCATGGAGGATGGATGAACTGCTGAAACTATTGCCTTGAGATAATCTTTAAACGTTAAACCAAAAATATCCCCTGCAGTCATCTTAAAACTGAACAATAATTCAGTTTAACTAGTAGAAAAGGCCTGTCTTGAGCATTATGCTTTTTAAAGAACTGTCTATATGGAATCAAATTGACAACAGCAGCTTGAAAGACTAGACAGGACCTTAGCGGGCAGCAAGTTACGTTAATGAGGGAGGAACAACTGAGAAAAAGATGGTGAGAATGGTTGCATAACTCAAATCATGTAATCAATGTCACCAAATTGTACACTAAAAACTGTTGAATTGGTCCTGTATTTGTTGCTGTGTGTATTCTTAACAGCAACAAATATATAAAATTTAGGAAAAAAAAAATTTTCCCACAACAATACTGAGCTTAGGAAAAATTTCTTTTCATAAGAAAGGTCTTAAATTACACCAATCCTAAACGATATTTAGATTAAGATTATGTAGTTATATTGCAATCTTTATTTAGAATACTCCTAGCAATATTAACACTTTCAAGAAGAAAAATATTTCAGTATTTCTAAAAACTATAGACTGAAGCAGTAGAACTTACTAATTTCTACGTTGAAAATCTTAACACTAAAATATCAATACTTTTTAGTGGTCTGTTTCTGATGAACCATTTTTATCCTAAGAATTTGAAATATAAAATAATCAGATAATTGGCTATTCACAAAATTTCAAGAAATATTCAAAAGTAAAAGTGTTTCTTTGTACCTATAGTAAAATATCTTCCTTCCTTGGTGAAAAACAAAACAAACCGTTGCCATCTAGTTGATTTGGACTCATAGCAACGCTATAGGGCAGAGTAGAACTGTCTCATAAGGTTTCCAAGGAGCAGCCAGTGGATTCAAACTGCTGACCTTTTGGTTAGCAGCTGAGCTTTTAATCACTGAGGCGCCAGGTTTTGGTAATTGCTTATTAATTGTTCCTTTATTTATCTTTGGTATGTTACTCACAAGTGTAATAATGTGTTTATGCGAATAGGAAGTAGAAGATGCTCTGAGGATGTTGACTTTCAAAATCAGTGATACCTCCCCAGCATATTATAGTTATGATGAGGTTTTCCTGAAATAAAATGTGACTCATAAATTTAATTTAGAATGCATCTTGAGAAACCTCAGATTTTCTATTTCCTTGATAAAAACTCATCATTTTCCTTAGTTGTTCAAAATTTGCAGCAAATGAGAAATCCATTTAGCAATTATTTCAAACTTATTTCAGCACCCAGTGATTAAGCTCAATTCCATGGATTGCATTGATTTTTAGAGGAGGAATTTTTTGCCTTTTCTAGTTCCTGCACAATTCTCAGTACTGTTATTATGTGATGTGTGTTTTGTAGGCACTAATGCTAACGGTCTCAACTGAGTGACTGCAGGAGAAAACGCTAATTAAAGATTGCATTTGGTGTCAGTGTGCTATTATGTTTTGGAGGAAATGAACTTATATGTTGCTGTAGATGTATATTTCTTAAATTCTGAAAAGTCAGGCAATGAAATTTGTCTCAGCAGTATACCTTGTCAGTTTTAACTTAGATCTGAATTAAAAGTTATTGAAAAAATACACTGATAAAACCAAATTTTCTATCATTTATTAATTGTATTTAAAATTCACATGGATCTATTAAAGACATTTTTTAATGTTTTCATTTTATGCTTTAAACAATTACAAACATTTGGCTTAAAATAATGTGCATTATCAATGTAACAACTTTGAAAAGCAGGGAATGCCTTCTTTCTAACAATGATCATAAATATCTCAACTTAATGGATCATATTTTTTTCTGTCTCTTAAAATTCTAAGGTTTTTTTTTTTTTTAAGAACAAAATTCTAAAGGATTTCAACATGCAATGGATATATATATCATTCAGAATGACTAGCTCCCATGCTTACACTGAACTCAACATAAGGCAAAAGCCCGTTATTATACTGATTCTTTGGCTCAGTGTATTTATAAAGCAAAGCAATGTGGCAAGCCTAACTAAAACAATCCTTTGTATTTGCCAGCTTCAGATTGCTAACATGGTTGCAATAAATTCAACCGTCGTCTCGAGTGAAATATGCAGCTTTGATTAGCAGGACAATTGGTTTTCTGAATGCAAGAAACAAGCATGAATCTGTTTCTCTAATTGTCCTTGTAGCTTAGGAAAACCAGAAAGAAGCATCTTTGTTTTAACAAAACAGCATTCTGCTTCTTTGTATGACCACCTCTGATTAGGAAAAGAGTGACTCAGTCAGATTCTGTCTGGTGAAATAGCATGTCTTCTAGTTTTGGCAACCTTGTAGATTTTGCCACAGATTATAAAGTGACTGAATGAGTTGTAATCAGGAAATTATCCATGTCACAATATCGGGCTCACCTTTTAACTGGTCAAGAAAAACAAGCCTTTGGTAACTCTAGTTATTGTATGCTACAATACACAACAAATTACCAATAACCATTCCTGAACTAACTACCAAATGGCCAGACCTTGTTCCTCTAACGATTTGACATTTTCTTGTTTCCTATAGTTTTGATTTTCTACCGCCTTTAGTATCAGTAGGTGAATCTACTGAAATCATTGTTCTTGAAGAGGTTTCATCTCACGAAGTTCTCATTCTTGCCTTCTGATATAAAAATAACCAATCCAACAAACAAAACCCCCCAAATAAAAGTAAGTCAAGGTTGCTTGATGACTACCACGCAGGCGCCTGCTCTTCCAATATTCAAAGAAGCCATCTGCAGAAAAAGATGAAACACAGCTGAAGGCAAATTTTGTTGTCATAGAAAGAATATACTAATTATGATATATTTATGGAAAGCAAAAATAAATGTGCTTATATTTTTGAATTTTAACCACAGACAGTGCAACAAAAAATAGCAATTTTACAAAAAAGCAAATAATTTGTATATTGAAATTTTAAAAACCAGCCCTCACTGAATTTATTTTAAATGCAGTACAAATGTTTAACTATTTTTGGTGAAATGAAGCTGCTGTAGAAAAGGTTCCAGCAAAGTTTCATTCTGGAATGTTCATGGGCACATTCATGATGATATTTCATCTTGATAGCTTGGGGTGTATTTTAGATGAAAGATCTATTACACTTATTGCAATTTTTGTGAAGTTATTTCCCCAGGTATTATACTGAATTAAATGTGTTATTCATTCATTCTAGACAGAGACATACAATGAAGTAACTTCAATATTTTGTCATAAATAGGCCATAATTATAATTGCTATAGGGCTTATTAAAAAAAATTCCATCTTTGACAGTCACTGAAATGAGAACTGAGTTTCTTTTGTAATAATACTGACTACAAAATTGTCTAGGAATATATTTAAAACAGTAATTTTTATAGAGTTTGTAATGGAAATTTATTCCTTGGAGGTAAGCCAATATTTTAATAATTTGAGCTTCTTGATATCAATGATTATTACAGTTTTCTAACAAAAATTTATGCACATAAAAATATGAGAGAAAACTAGACATTACAGGATATTATTTGAAATGAAAAGAAAGTGAATAAAATGTAAGAAATAAAATAGCAAAGAGCAAAATAATCTCCAATCACTTAGATTATTTTATTGATTGAGAAAGGATATGTTTTCACTCTCTAAATATGAAAATTGGCTCCATTATACACCAGCTCTTTTAAACGTATATATTGTTACCCTTCATTCCACTGTAGGTTTAACATATAAGGGGTGGGGGGAACACAACTCTCTATATGTCACTTATTTTTTTATTCCTTTCATTAAATACATTATTTGTAAAAGTTAATCTAATATTAAATACATTATTTGTAAATGTTAATCTAATATATAGTCTCTTGTCTTAAAATGAGAGGTGGAAAGGGATATGTTAATATATTGATAGCCTACTGTGTGTATAGGTCACCATAGTCACCTACATAATCACATCATATGTTGTTATCTCCTGTTAACAGGTGAGGGCATGCTGTTTCACAGACAATAAGTAAATCCCAAGGCATCAATGTATACAAACCCAAGGTATATGACTCCAAAATATATACACTTTCTTTTGCCCCTCTTTTATTATCCAATAATTTTCAAACATTGGACATCAGTGTCATCCAAAGAGATTTACAAAGTATATGTACTCAAATCCCACCAGTCAGTAGGAATGAAATGAGGATTTGTTAGTAATATTTTTAAGAAGTTTCCCAGATGCTTTAGGATGTTCACCCAATACTGAGAAGTACTCTGCATATTTTCCAATCTAATCATAGAGTGAGTAGCTCTACTTTTTATCATCTATATCTACATCTATGGAGGCCTGGTGGTGCAGTGGTTAAGTGCTCAGCTACTAACCAAAGGTCAGTGGTTTGAGCCCACCAGCAGATCTGCAGGAGAAAGATGTGGCAATCGGCTTCTGTAAGGATTACAGCTTTGGAAACCTATGGGACCCTTCTACTCTGTCCTACAGTGTCACTACTAGTCAGAATCGACTCTACAGCAACGGGTTTGGTTTGGTTTATAACTATGTCTCTGTGTGTTCATGTATAAACCAAATTGAAACTGGTTGCCCCATTTGTTGGAGTAGAACTGCTCCATAGGGTTTTTATCAGCTATAATCTTTATTGAAGCAGCTCACCAGGTCTTTCTTCCATGGCACTTCTGGATGGGTTTAAATTTTCAACTTCCAGATTAGCAGTCAAAAGGAAATTATTGGCACCACCCAAGAACCTACGTGTTCATGCAAATGTGTGTGAAAATTAATCCCATCTCCTTTTCCCAAAAATGTGCTATTAGCAGTGTATTTCATATGTCAGTGAGTGACACCACCTTCTACCTAGTTGATCAAGACAGAAACGTAGAGTACAACTGTGTCTCTTCTTTTGCTTCACCCAACCCAATGTATAAATAATCATCCAGCCCTCTAAATCTCTCTCCAATCAGTTTAATTCTGTCAGTCTTTACTGTCTTCAACCTAATTCAGGCTACAATACTGGCTTGAGTGGATTATTAAAAAATCCTCCTAATAGGTTTCTCTGACTCCAAGCTTGCAATCTCCTAGCTATTTTCTGCATCCTAACAAGTATGATCTTGAAGAAACTATTCTTATTATTTACTTTCCTCTCTTAAAATCCTTCATTAACTCCCCTTTGTTCTTATAGTAAAATCAACACGGACTCATGGTGACCTCGTGTGTGTCAGAGTAGAATTGTGCTCCAAAGGGTTTTCAAAGTCTGATATTTTGGAAGCAGATTGCCAGGCCTTTCTTCAGAGGCACCTCTGGGTGGACTTGAATTTCTAACCTTTTAGTTAGCAGCCAAGATCATTAACAGTTTACATCACTAAAGGACTCCCTACAAAATGTACAGCCTGATTATCTCTCCTAAAACATTGCCCAATATTTCATTTCTTGGCCAATGAAACATGCCATTTCCTTTTCTTCCTACAGCTCTTTACAAATGCTGTTCCTTGAGTCACATGTCCATTGCCATCAAGTCAATTCCGACTGACAGTCATAACACTTCCCATATTTTTATCTGTTTAACTCTTACCCATCCTTATGGCCTTATCCTACATATCATTTCCTGCAGGAAGATTTCTCTACCCAACACTTAGTTGTCATCACAATGCCAAGTATTTCTCTTATCACAGAATCTATCATTGTATTTTAAGTATTTGGTGTATTCTACATAAGTGTATCTAAAATAGTTATGTGAGGTTTACCCTCTCTTCCTCTAGTTCAATTTTATTTCCTTCTTTTTGTTTTTGTTTTTTTGTTTTCATATCTACCTTTGGTCTCCTTCAGTGAGTTACGCCTTTCAGCCTGAGTGCTATGTTAACCTGAAAAGATTAGTGGTAAAACAAACTGGATTAAAACGACTGAGTATGTAGATATATCACCAGGCTTCTGGAACTCAGTATCAACTTCTTATATACGTATTGTGTGCAAATAAATTAAGCCTGGGCACAACTGAAGTAAAAGCAGTTGCAAGAATATCTCTCCACTAATTTATTTGAGAAACGATTATGTATCTCCTATCTACGTCATGCCAATGACCATGTTATGGTTGGAGACATGACAGTAAGTGAGACATGGGCCTTTTTTCCTTACAGCCAGCACATGGGTACAGTACAACAGCACTATGACAGTGTATCATGAAAACACATAAGAGTCATTTTACCCAAGGTAGTGACGCAATGATTAAAGCACCTGGCTACTAACCGAAAGGTTGGTGGTTTGAACCTACCACCTACTCCGTGGGAGAAAAGACTTGGCGATCTGCTCCCGTAAAGATTATAGCCTAGGAAACCCTATGGGGGCACTTCTACTCTGTCGTTTAGTGTTGCTATGAGTCTGAATCTGCTGGATGGCACACAACAACAACGAGAGGAGGAATGGGATAAATTTCTTCTTTCTCTATCTTGAAACACAAGCTTTTTTTTTTTTAAATCAAATGCAAGAAATAAGCCTAATGTTAAATAACAAAATCAAGTTGTGTTAAAAAATGCTTGTATCCTCTTTAGAACAAACTAGGAAAGCCATCAATTTGGCATCTGTTCCATAATCCGTGTTCATTATTTCCCATCCTAGCAAACCATCAGAACTACCTGGGGAGTTTTCCAAAAATGCTCATTCTTACATATTTTGATATAGTTTGCTAATTTATTCTAATAATCAGTCATTTGGGATGCCAATAAGCAATGGGATAGCCAGCTGAATTTGTCCACTTATGGATTCCATTGATTAAAAGTGACAGAAGTGATTTTGAAAACATGGAAATTCTGTCTAGTAAGCTGGAATCCTGAGAGTTTTTAAAAGACTTTATGTGGGATGGCTAAAGGTCCCTCAAGAGTCTTAAAAAATATAAACAGTAAAAAGATATGCGAGTAAAATCATAATTTAAGAGTTTTAAAATTAATTTATATTACTAAAATAAAGTTGTTGTAAAACATTTTAAATACCACTTTGCTGTTTGTAAGATACTATATGAGTAGAGTATTATACAAAAGAGTATAATAAAATACAGACAAGGGGTAACGGATTTTAGGAAGCTTTTACTTATTATTACCACATACATTATTTTGATTTCAATTTTAGAGGAAAGATAAGCATAATTGCTACTTATTATAAATATATAATGAAGATATTATATTATAGCATTTATATGCCTATAAACTTCCTTTACTTAATATTTATTTGTATAAGTGGCACACTTAAAATATATACCATTAAACTGGCATATTTCTTAGCGAATAAACAACCAGTCCATGCAGTGCACCCTATGGAATGACTATGGAATCAGAAAGGCAAGAAGTTAAAATATATCCTCTAAGATTTTGGTGCAATCACGTAAAAAGCAAACATTATTAGCTTGTTTATATTATCTGTCCTTTAGATAAGGAATGCTTCTTCTCTCACAATTATCAGAAAATTATAGGACTTATTTCTTCAAGTACTCCCCATCTCTCTCATTTCTCCTTTTTTCCTTCCTCCTTAGCCAAATTCATGTATCTAGATTGAATTCAAAGAGTATTCCTTTAGGGAAGAGTAAGATTCACAATGCAGGGAACTTAGCCTAGCCGTTAGGAATTTGGCTTGGTACTTTGCTGTCAGTCTATCTAAATATTGTTGTTGAACACACACCATCAGAACTTGCACAATCAAGGAAGTTATATGGATGAGTTCAGTCACCTCCAAACAAATTAAGTATCTGTAAAAGAAATTTACCTTAATCAGTGCTTAGGTTCTTCGGATAAACTTTAATCAATGCCTGTGATCAAAAAGAGAACCCTCCACCCACTCAGAAACATGAGGAGATGTGGTTATTATTCTCTTCACTAAGTAAGGCTTTGGAATTTCACTGCACTCACTGATAGGAACTATATTTATTTTACTTTTTTCAACTATATTTATTTTACTTTTTTCTTACTTTTAGGTTTCTAATAAAAGAGAGAAACAATAGAAATATTGAGACAGTTGGAAAAGAGAAAGAATATATGGAGAAATGGAATATAAGAACAAAGGTATAAGAATAGATCCATGTCCTCTGTTAAAAGCATGGCCATAATATCTACACAACAAAAAGTATTTTTCAGTATAATTAGGTTGCCTTGCCCTCATAATCCCTCATCTCCTCTGTCCGCACTCACACTTACTAACACACATCCTCTAGCTAGGTGATCAGAATGGGAGCAGCTTTATTTCAGCCAAACCCTGAATCTTTAACAGGACTGTTTATTTAAGGAGTTAACACCTCACCTAAACTCTCCCATCATTCCACACCATCTGCCTGGCCACAGTGATTATTCAGGAATATGCATTTAATATATGACAAACCATTCAGAGCCCTTTGCTATTTGTTATTTAATTGAACTGAGACAAAGAATTTTTTACTTTCTGTTTATTGCTTTGTGGATTTCTATTTGGAGCTTCCAAAAAAGTTCCACTTCTTTACAGGACTTAGAAATGGACTTCACAGAGTCAAGTAAAAATGGGAGGCAGAGAGGTGGATTTCTGCAGCCTTCAATTTCTTTGTTCCACTTATCTCTAAAACTAAATATGCTCAATTTAGGATTTTGTATGCCAATAAATTCCACTTTTATTTTTTTGCTTCAACAAATTAAAATTCAGTGCCTGCTACTTGTTACTATTTATAATGACATGGAAATCCATTGAAGTATGCATGTCATTTTTAAAATATAAATTCTATTAAAGTATAACATATATAAAAGTATACAAATCAAAAAACATGCTATTTAATGAACTTTTTAATAAATGAACAACCCACTGGGTAAATCAAACATTTTTGGGTCAGGGAAATTTGACTTGATAGATTATTTGTAATTTGCCCTCCCCACCAAGAAAGTAAATTATTAATTATTCTGAAGACAATCTTACCTGTGTCCACTCATTAGTTTGTGGATCATAGGATTCCATTGTGTTGAGGTATGTCTGCCCATCATAGCCACCAACAGCATATAATCTGTCACCAAGGAGACAGACCCCAACAGCATCTCTGGGCATACTCAAAGGAGCCACCATGGTCCATGTATCTGTTTTGGGATCATATCTAAAATGCAACAATAATAGAACAAAAAATATTCTAATCACATTTGACTTTCATTGTATACCTGTAGGGAGCCCCTGTGGCATAGTGGTTAAGAACTTGGCTGCTAAGCAAAAGGTTGGCAGTTCGAATCCACTAGCAGCTGCAGTTCGAATCCACTAGCAGCTCCTTGGAAATCCTATGGGGCAGTTCTACTCTGTCCTATAGGGTAGCTCAGAGTCAAAATTGAGTCTATGGCAATGGAGAATACACATATCATGACAAAGAAGACTAAGTTTCTTTTAAGTCTCAATCATTTGAATAGGTGTTCTAAGCTCATATCCACAATGTCTTTCAGGTATATTAAAAACACACCCAGACTGTTATTTAGAAGGAAGCTGAGTCATTTAACAAAAACACAAAGATGAATTTCATGATTTTTTTCACAAGGAGAAGTCAGATGTGTAAATAACTATCAAAAATAGAGAGTGAAGGTCTTTATAACAGGCATAAGCAAAGCGCTGTGGTAATGAAACAGAAAGAATGGTTAAAAATGTAAGAGAATCATGGAATACTCCATAGATGAAGTCTCCTTTAAACTGTCTGAAAGGTTAGTCTAACTTTGCTAGAAGAGGAGAAGAGCAAAAGAACTAAAGTTAAAAAAATAAATAAATAAAGGCCAGTTTCAAATAAGGCAGATGTATATAGTGTGTCTAGGCTCAAGTAAGTAAGTATGAGGGGGAAGTGGGACTGAAAAGATGGGTTTTGATCAGCTCACGGATTGTTTTGACTCCCAAGCAGAGGTGCTTTCAGTTTATGTAGTAGTAAAATAGGGAGCCTTTGAAACTTGAGAAAAGAATTACGACATGAAGAGAACTGTGTTAGTGACATTATTCAGGAAACATTGGTGAGTCAAGAGACTGAAGCCAAGGAGTGCACATTACTATTATATAATTTAAACCCAAAATGATTTTATTTTCAAAAAAGCTAATTACCATATATTACAAACAGCTACTTTATACTTTGGGTGTCAGAAAACTAAAGAGTATTTTGGTGACAGTACTTTATTTCAGCTAAAAATTAATGAATAAACCACTCCCTTTGCCTTTAATCTATAATTGTAGGTTCAGATACCAACAGGAAAAAGCCAATGAGAACTCAATAGAGTAAATATAAGATGGAAAAAAAAATATTTTGATAAACACAGCAAATACATTCTTAGTTTGTTTTACTACTCCAAATTCTTTTTTCATCAGTTGAAAATTTCAGCACACAGATTACTAAAACAAACAAGCAAAAACAAAACAACTAAACAATAAAAACAAACCCTACAGTTTATTGAAAATAAAGAAGGCTGTTACTAAAAAATGGTTTGGAGGATCCTAATGATCTGGAATTTATAATTCACAGTGAATATTCATACTGTACAAGATATATGCATATGCACAGCATGATTGGAGGGTTAGTACAAATGACGTGCGAAATGAGAGATTGGTTGAATGCCTGCAAAACCAGGACCACCTTAAAGCATAGGTTGGTTAGCACATAAGAATTTAGTTAATAAATATGAGACCTCACGCACAGACTCATACACAAAATCTGTCATCAAAATCTTCTATAAAATATTTAAAATTTTCTATAAACATTTCTTGAAATATACAAAGATAAACTATGAGTACAAAAAATGTAAAAAAGAAGACCACAATGAAGCCAGCACTGCAATCCTGAATGTGGAACATTCTGCACGAAAACAAACTAAATTATCAATCACTCGATGAAAATTAAATAAAAATAATTAAAAAGAAATAATTCTTCTAAATGAAATGTGACTTAGAAACATAACAAAAAATAAAATAAGTAAACATTATTTGGAGTCTAATTCAAAAAAATAGACTGATTAAAAAAAGTTAAAGACATTTAAGGAAATTTTCGCATAAACTGGACATGAAATTATAATAAATAATTATTACAGCTTTTATTAGTCTGGATAATAGCATTATAGCTATGTAAAAAAAAAAAGATCCTAATCATGTTTGTTTATTTGTTTCTGGGATAAATTAAAAAATATTTCAGGCTGAAACTACTTTTTTGAGAATTTCTTTAAAAATAATCCAATTGTTTAAGCAGGTAATGAATACAGGAGAGTTTTTTGTATTGTTTATGTTTATGTCTGTTAGAAATTTTACAGTAAACATAACTGTAAAAGGAAGAATATATGCATATGTTGTAATTTCAGTAGAAAGTTAAATTTCTTTACATTTTATTCATTCCTCAATAAAATCCCATTGGGCTTTTGTCACAATCAGTTCATTTAAACAGCTTCTCCTGATCATATTTTTGTCCTCATTTAATTATTATTCAGCTCTATAGAATTATTTTTCAATCACTGCCTGCAAAGCAGGCTTTATCTATTACATTGCAAAAACAAAGAAACAGAAAAGGGCAGAAGAACTGAGAAAACAAGCTAAGCAATAATAAGCCAACTTCTGAAACTTTGGTTCTTCAGGTGAAACGCTAATGTTGACACACTTCTCAAATACTCATATTGCACAGGAAATTAAGAAAATACGAATATGTCCTCCATGTAGATAAACATTTAGGACTGTCATCCTACATTGAGAAATAAGTATAATTTTATATATATATATTTCATTGATTTCCTGAAGGAATTAAAAAGTTCTGATGCATTCTTCTCATATAGCCAAATCTTACAATTTGATGTACCTATCTTTAGTGGTAGGTAATGCACTTTTAATGTATAATAAGGACATTTTCAATATACATGTGACAATGATGACAATATTTAAGTGTATATGTTACCAGCAAAAAAAAAAAAAGAAAGAAAAACAAAAACAACAACAACAACAAAACTGAGGTTGTTTTTCCCCCATTCTGTCTCAGATATTTAGGGGAGGACCACATAACTTCAAAATTACCCATTGACTTTTTCCTTTGTTCTCACATTAATGACTCTAAATGGATTTTTCGGTATTCAGGAACTCTTGTGGGTTCACCTCTCAGCCTGGGGACATAAAAAGTTATTACCCAAAAAATGAAATAAACAGTCATTTTTAACTTAGGAGAGGGTCTACAGATGTATAAACATTTTCCAAACAATTACTCAGAGTGAATTCTATCATTGCTAGTTCCACATTGTTGACAGATTCAATTCTAAGCCTTCTCTCTCTTTTTTGGCCTCTGGTTGTCTGTTCATAAAAATAAAAGGGAGAGTGTTTTTTGTATTTAGGTTGTCTGCCTTTCCAATGTCTCACCTTGGCCTTCGTAGTCAGAGTGTGAGCGATGTTCCAGAGACTCTATTAAAGTTTATAGCCCTCAGGCAAGAGAACTGCTAGTGTATAGTGGCTAAAATTGACTGTAAAATGGGAACTTGCTGGAGGCTTACGGTAACAGAACAAAAGTTCATTTCTCTTTGAAATTCTCATTAAAATTTTTGAGGTACCATTAATTTTGCAAGCATTACTGTTTTTCCAAACTTTAAGGACTAACATTCAACTTAAAGTGTTTAAAGGATTTTTTTTTTTTAAATATAAAAGTATTACTGTGGTAACAAACGACTTGGGAATGTCCACTTTACTAAATTTGTGCAGGCAATATTCTGCCAGAGAGCAAATTAAACAATAGAGAAGTGGTTAGTATTAAGGTAAGTTTGCCTGTAAAACAAAATAAAACAAGCAAGAAAACAAAGAAACAACAAAAATAAAAGCGAAAGTCCTTGCAATGAGCATGAATAAACAGCTTCTTAAGAGAGACCCGTGTTCTATCCCCAGCCAATGCGCTTCATGAACAGATACCACCCACCTATCAATAGAGGTTTGTGTTGCTATGATGCTGAACAGGTTTCAGAGTTCCAGACTAAGACAGACACAGAAGCCTGATGATTTACTTCTGAAAATCAGACAATGAAAACCCTACGGATCACATTGGTCCTATCTGCAAAACAGCATTTCCCTTCATTGTGTAAGGGGTCCTCATGAGTCAGGGGTCCCTTGAGTGGAGCTAACAGCAACAACAAAGAGTGGCTTAGAGATTTCAGGTAAATGAATTATGCAGTCTATACTGCAAGTTATCTTAATAATTTATTTGCGAATTGAGCAATTAAGAGTGAAAATAGTGTTGGTATAAAAAAATGGTTTTTATTTTCTCTTAAGGAAAGCCAACTGCTACCAGGCCTAATGAGCTTATATATATATATATATATATATATATATATATATATATATGTATGTATGTATATGACTTTAGAAATACTTATGTGAGGGAAATGTAAAGTAAATTAACTCTAAAGTTTATTAATGGTTATCAGGGGTGTGTGGGGGGAGAGGGGTTATTGCTCATTTAGTACTGAGTTCCCGTTTATAGTGATTGTCTTAGTCATCTAGTGCTGTTCTAACAGAAATACCACAAGTGGATGGCTTTAATAAAGAGAAGTTTTTTCTCTCACAGTCCGGTAGCTTACAAGTCCAAATTCAGGGTTTCGGCTCCAAGGGAATGCTTTCTCTGTCAGCTCTGGAGGAAGGTCCGTGTCATCAATCTTCCCTTGGTCTAAGAGCTTCTCTGCGCAGGAACCTCAGGTTCAAACGATGCCCTCTGCTCTAGGCACTGCTTTCTTGGTGGTATGATGTTCCCATGGGTCTCTGCTCACTTCTGTCTTTCATATCTCAGAAGAGATTGACTTAAGACACTATCTAATCTTGTAGCCCTCATCAGTATAACTGCCACTAATCCATCTTATTACAACATAGTGATACAGTTTACAACACAGAAGGCAATCACATCAGATTACAAAATGGTACACAATCATACAATACCGGGAATCATGACCCAGCCAAGTTGACAGATATTTTTGGGGGATACAATTCAATCCATGACAGTGATAGAAAAATAGCATTGATTAAGGGTAGGGTTGTACAACTGATTATTGTAAGTGCTGTCAGTAAGTTGTACACCTGTTAAAAGTTGAATCAGCAAACATGTGACAGACATATTTACAATCATGACAAAAA